TTTTTTTCATTTTTTGCATTTCTACACATTGCTTCGAAAAAATACATAACACCTTAGGCACAAATTGCCATGCCCTTTACGCCTTTGTTTTGCACCTTGTGCTTTTAAAACACCAAATATATGGTACGGTGGTACCTTGTGGTTTGCAACCCAAACCAACCTTTAATCTTAATACACCCCATTCTCCTTTTTCTCTCTCAATCAGAAGAATGCATATAGAGCAAAAATAAACCCACTCTTACAATAACACCCTCTTTTTTATCAATTATAACAGCATCCTCTATCTTTCCAAGTTATTCATATTAAAAAAAAAAATAATCTCTCCAAAAGAGATCTTCATCCTTTCTCTCAAAGAGGCACACAACCACACACCTATGCAAGGTGCCAACCAGCTGGTTGGTAAGGTCCCCTTTTGGTCACAGTGGAGACTTGGGATTGAATCCCGTGTTGTGTAGCCCTTCAGAACATATCAGAAAATAAAAGGGGGCATACACCTTTTTCAACCAAAAGATCTTACATGTAACACACCAAAGGAAAGAGAACTTTTATATGCAAAATATGAACCCTTTCCAAAGGAGGACCATACCCACCGTTAGCTCACAACCCAATCCACCAGTTGAAAAATAAGGCCCAAACCGAACAAATACCTGAATCATGTTTCTTTTTTGAGAACTGACCCTCATACCAAAAGCTGGGAGTGTATTTTGTCCCATGTATTGCTGAACTAAGGCTGAGATTTAGGCTTTCTTAATAGGTTGAGTGTGCATGTGATCATGCATATAGAATCGCCTTTGATTCCTTTAATCCTAGACCTGAAGATCAGTCCCCTAGCTTTTGATATAGGTAGTCTGGTCAAGGAGAATCAGACATAATCGGCACAGTAAATCATGTATGCATACTAGCATTGTCAGCTTTCCCACTAACACCACCCTAGACTAGAATCTAAACCTGCCTACACTGAACATAGAAAAACACTGGTAATTGTTCCACAGCCAAATCTCTCAAAATAAAGACCAGATGAAAACTTGACTCATATTACAGCAGGAAAAAAAAAAAACATTAAATGGCCCTTTACCAATCCGATTGTCATTAAAATGGCTGTAGTTCTCTCAAAACATGTTTATTTATAAGATCTTGGTCTCATTGGATAGACATGTCAATAACCAGCTTAATGACACCAAAAACAAACAAGATGAACAAGTTTTCCTCTCAGAAGATAGGCTAAAAGAAAAGTGACACGATTCCAACCACTGAAGCTTTCTTTTGAGATGATTGATAGAAAAGTTGAAAGAGAAGAGAGATCTTTATATTGTATTCATTGGTCTAGAAAATGTATATGATAGAGTCCCTAGAGAGATAATATGGTGGATCTTGGAAAAGAAAAGAGTTTCATATAGAGTAATCTTCAAGGGCTGCTGTACTTTGGACTGTACTTGGAAGCTCTTATAGGCTGCATTCTAATAAGGGTGAACACTGGGTCAAATCTTTCAACCTATTCATCATCTACAAGGAACGAGAAAATTATCAAACCTTGGACTCCACCCTTGGAAAGGTTTATTAAACTTAATTTTGACAGAAGTGGCCTCGGTAACCTAGGCCCTTCAGGCATTGAGGGGTCTTAGGAATTAATAAGGGACTATAATAGCTATCTTCTTGGGTCCTATTGGTCTAGGCTATTCTATTAGAGCCAAACTGCTTGCCATCCTAGGCGGGGCTCAAATAGCAAGAGTTAAATCTGGAAAGGCTGATTGTTGAAGGGGATTCTCAATTGGTAATTAGTTGGCAAAAGGATGCAAAGAAGACAGATTGGGTCTACCGAGAAGGGGTTAATAAAATCAAGGGTCAATCTCTTAAACTACCCCTACTGTTCGCAAAATTGACAAACCATACCCTTACTGTTTAGATATTGTCTTGCGGTGCCCTTAAGTTTTCTGACAAATGTCATCGTCGTTAAGTGCTAACAGAAGGAAACGAAATGTCAAATTTGCCCTTCACTATTTATCAAATTTTCAAAATAAAACCCAATTGATCAAAAACCCCTGGTTTCCAAGTTTTTTCAAAGCTTTACTTGATACCAACTGTCACTGGGGCTATTCAACGAGTCCCCGGTTATCTGTTGGAAATTGCAGCAGTCCCGGTATATGCCTGATCCCTTTTTCCGGCAAACTGTGTGTTTTGGGCTAAGAACCAGTTTGACGACATGGTTTTCCGTTTATCAGACTGGTGAGCTTATTGCAAGCCTTCCTGCCAGTCTTCCCCACTCCTTCGCTCTCTCTCTCTCAAGCCTTCCTGCCAATCTTCCCCACTTCTGATTTGTCGGTTTGTTTTCCTCTTATTTTCCATATTTCAAATCCAAGGTTAGGCATTCTTCTAGTAAACCAATCAATGATTTCTTTTGTTCCTTTCTGTCAATTTGGGAGGCTTCCACTTTCCGCTGTCCATTTAACTAAATGTTTCATTGTGTATCCTCCGAACCTAGAACAAAGGAGCGGTGGCTACCCCTTCACACCAACCTTCTCTCCCTTTTTCTTCTAATCTTCTTTCTTCTTCTTCTTCTTCCCCCTTTTCCTTTCTCTGTTTCATTTCTGCCACTGCAATTTGAACCCAGCGACCTCCTTCTCTTCTTCCCAGTTCCTCTTGTTTTTCGTCTTTCCTCCGACATCGCCACTACTGAGAGCTGCTGGATCGATTCGCTCTCTCTCTTCTCCTTCTTCTTCTTCCTCTTTCTCTCTGTCACGCTAACCTTCTCTCTTGTCTCGAGAGACAACAACAATGGTTCTGCTTTTGTTGCTTCTTCTTTCTCCTTCTCTGGTTGTCTCTCTGAACCAGGAAGGTCTATATCTTCAACAAGTCAAACTCGGCTTCGACAACCCAGATGGTGCCTTTCCAACTGGAACGATAGACACGACACTCCCTGTGAATGGAGCAGCATCAAATGCGACTTAGAAACTCATTCAATCACCTCAGTCGACCTCTCCAATGCCAACATCGCTAGGCCTTTCCCTACTATCATCTACCATCTCCCTAACCTGACTAACCTCTCCCTCTCCAACAATTCCATCAACTCCTCTCTCCCTGATGACACCTTCGCCTGTCAGAAACTGTAGCACCTAGACCTCTCGGAGAACTACCTTGTGGGTCCAATCCCGTCCACGCTTGCTAACAGTACAACTCTCCATAGCCTCATCCTAAGCGGAAACAATTTCTCCGGCGATATTCCAAAGAGCTTTGGACGATTCCAGAGACTTGAGGAGCTGGCTCTCATCGGGAATCTCCTCAATGGCGCCATACCTTCAGTTCTTGTAAATATTTCCACTCTTAAGAGTGCTTAATCTGGCTTACAACCCGTTTACTCCCAGTCAAATTCCGTCGGACATCGGTAACTTGACGAACCTGGAATTTCTCTGGTTTACTCAGTCTAATCTCGTGAGTCAGATGCCAGTGAAATTCCAGCGAACTTGTGTGCAGCGGCGGATTCAAACTCAACGACCTCCTTCTCTTCTTCCCAGTTCCTCTTGTCTTTCGTTTTTCCTCCGTCATTGCCACTGTTGAGAGATGCCGGATAGATACGCTCTCTCTTCTCCTTCTTCTTCTCTTCCCTTCATTTTATCTCTATTTTCTGTTTCGTCGCTGCTGCTGCAAGTTGCAGTGGTAGCTCCCTCAACTTTCTTCACCTCCTTCTCACCAAATTTTTGCCATTCGGAAGTTGCAGTGGCCACCATCGCCTATAACGATGATTCCAAAATCACTGCCACCCCTGCAACTCCCAACAACAGCGGTGAACAATAAGGGTATTTTAGGAATTTAAAATGATTATCACTCACGTGATGTCACATGTGAACAGAGTGTGACAAAAAATTAACAGCAAGGGAGGTTTTAGACAATTGTCAGAACCCGCAAGACAATATCTAAATACTAAGGGTACAGTTTGTCAATTTCGTGAACACTAGGGGTAGTTTAAGAGATAAAATCAAATGGTTACTAAGAGGAACAACAGTAATTTTTCAATGAGTTCCAAGGGAGGCAAATGGGCTAGCAGATTCTCTAGCTAGGCAAGGGGTTGTTAGGGAACAACTGAATTGGGCCCATCTATAATTTTTGTACTTTGGGGTAACCTAACCCCATTTATTCCTCTTTGTAAACTATTGTATTGGGCCCAACTATTGTTGGGTGTAGGATCCACCCCAACAGTAAATAAGTTCACAGTTCTGCCCAAAACAAATGTTGTCTTACAGCCCCTAGTTTGACTAGAGAATCTTCCATCCCATTTGCTGTTCTCAATCTCCCTAAATTTATACCGGAACACCCATGGGATTTAGGTACTGCATCTTGTCCAGGAAACGACTACCTGAGAATCCCCTTCCACTTCTAAATTAAGTAACCCAAGTTGTTTAGCAAGTTTTAAACTCTGCAATAAACCCACCAACTCCGCTGTAAGTGCATTACCATACTCCAGTGGTCCTAAATATAGAGCCACCACTCCTGAATTCCTGAAGACTCCCCCTACCCCAACCAATCTCAAATTGCCAATGAAGCTTTCATCAAAATTGAGTTTTAAAAAGTTCGACGCCAGGAAGTCCATTGCATAAAATGCCTTTCCTTTTCTTGAGCCAAGAGTGCCACCTCTTTCCCAGATCTCAAAATGTCAATAAGAGAGAAGTTATGAAACCCTCCAAAGTTTTTATTTTGAATCTTTGATTATATATTCAAATACAAAATTGCATACAAAAAGCTATGGTTATATATACACATACATTAAATTTTTTCGTCTATGATTATATATTCAAAATTGCATACAAAAGCTACTTAGTCCATACATAACAGAAGCAAATAGTTGAACTAGCAGTCAATTGCATATATTATAGCTAACTTCAACAACAGAAGAATGATTACATGAATCGTGACATGGATTCAAAGGAGAATTTTCAACACAGTTGAAACAGTAAATTATGCTCATAACGGTAGGAGACATGAATGAAAAATTTAAAGCTGAATCATACCTCCAGCCTTACCACCCTTGATTTTAAGAGGTTGTGGGCAGACTGCACAGAGGATGCACCAAGATCCTGGAATCCTTGCTTGACTGCTTGCATTGTGTAAGGGATAAACTGGAGTACAGAACCTTTGTCCGCAACAGCTCCAACAACTCCCTGAGCAACCTTTAGTTTAGAGGTATCACCAAGATACCGGACATCACTACCTTTTGTCATGGCTTCAAGTGACCCCATGCCCCTATACTTTTTAATCCGACGACCACCCTGGCAACAAAAATAAAAGAATGTAGAAGGTGCAAATACAAACCCTACAGCCCATTATAGTGGATACACACTCCATACGTGGTTGCTGTGATACAACATACATAACGTCATAATGACATAATGACATAAATGTGCTGGACCTGAAGTATTGGGCCCAACTCAGACCTGGCTCACAAATTACCTGATCCGATGCAGTACCAGGCCTGGGCTAGGCCAGGCTTGAAATAATCAAGCTAGTTGGCTACATCTGAAGTATATGCCTCGCTTTTGTATCAATACATTCTTAGCCCATGCATTTACCCAATTAGTAACACATGTCCAAAATGTATAAGATATGATCAAGCATTTAGTCAATTAGCCATCAATTATTGCAGATCCATTAGGAAGTATAATATTGAGAAAATAGTGATATATCTAATATTCAATGTAAGGTATCAAAGTGTGTATGTTCATTACAGTTTTAAAAGGTGTTCCTCAGGCACACCTAGGTTCACTGGAAAGGTTCATTCTATGGGGTGTACTTCAAATGAACCCAGGTGGTGCACCATTGCACCTGGATTGTTGCTATGTTTTGATGAATTAACTTGGAATTTGATGCTGAAGAAGAGATGGAGATCGATCAGCAGCTCCAAAGACATGATCTAGAAGGAAGACCTTTCAACAGGTCTTGGAATGGTACAATGATGGTATTTGGAAGTTGGAACTTGGGCTCAATCCGACACCAGGGGTATTTTTTTCATCAAAACATGGGGTCAGATTTGACTAGTTATAGTCAGTTCATGTATAAAGATTCAAAATCATCACACGAACTTCTTCTTCTTCTTCTTCTTCGTGCAAACAAAACCTGCACAAAACAGGGGCTCCGCCCCATTTATTTTTTTGGCTTTTCTCAGTAAAACAGGGGCTCCGCCCCTTTTATTTTTTTTTTCAGTTTTTTCTCAGTAAAACAGGGGCTTGCAGAGGTCTTGTTTCTTGCACAAAGGTGATCTGCCCCATTTGTTTTTTCAGTTTTTCTCATAAAAATAGGGGATCCGCCCCATCTTTTTCAGTTTTTCTCATTAAAACAGAGGCTTTGCCCCATTATTTTTCAGTTTTTCTCATTATACCTTCATTTTTCTTTTTTTATTTTTCAAAAAATTGTGCGCCTCACCTTGTGCAAAATGACCCTTGTGTCTTTTTTGCACCTTTCGCTTTTAAAGCACTGGATTAGATGATAATATATCACTAAGAACAGAGATATAATAATGTTTCATCAACCCCTCCCCGTTACAACCTCCACCCAAAAAAAACAACTAATTTCACTTTTGAGACGAAAAAAAAAAAAAAAAACTCAGCCCACAAACCAACACTATAAACCAGAAGATAAGCCTCACTGGCTTGATCATTAAAATCATCAAATAAATTATAACTCCATATTTCTCTTATAACAACCAACAGGCCTCCTATAACTTACACTCCCTACACCCTGAAACTCATTAACATCACTTCCACCCAGACAAGCCTGTCATAATGAAGGCTTTCTACTTCTCTCTCTTTCTTCTAATTCCAAAATACACCTTTCTTTATATATTCTTCCCCACCTAAAAAGAACTAACATTTTGCCAATTTAAACTTCTTTCTTTGGAAAAGAAATTTGAACTTTTGATACATTTGTAAAGATCTAAGATACATGCAGGACTCCAGTAAACTAAACACTAAGGGTTTTATACTTTAACTTGAAAGGTTTACTGAAATATAAAATTTATATATGATAATCTTATTATATAACATAACAAGAAAATGCACAAAGTTGGTACATACTAGATAAGTAGCCAATCTGACAAAAATACATAAATGGTATCCTAAACGTTAACCTATCTATAATTCGACTTAATTTTATTTTGCCAAGGACTATTCTCTATTTGGTTCCTTGGGCTTGTAACATCTTATGTAGCATTCTTCAATACACGCTAACCTCTAACCTCTTTTACCTGTAAAACTAACCAAAGTCTTGCCAAACAAACAGGTTTTGAATTCAGAATTCTTAAACTCCGGTTAGTGTCACCTTTGTTAAGAACTGGAAAAGATTAGGATAAGCAGGGACATTTTAGCAATTTTATATCAAATTTCTTTATGTAGAAGCATATGCATACTTTTATTCCACAAGTTCCAAAAAATTAACAAAAAAAGAAGTATCCTAAGCTTAATTAAATTAGCACTAGATTGCAGCAGGGCTTCAAAGGAACTTTCACAAATAACTGTCATGAAATTCTTCAAATTCTAAATGTTATAATTCACAACTACATTGTGAAAATCGTAGACAGCGCATTCAGATACAGAAAAGGCATACAAAAGCAACGGCTTAAAAATAAAAACTTGCAACAAGAGAAACAAGAAGTAACCAACCACCATATGCTTGCACAATTACCTATAGCATAATAATGCAGGAGACAAAAAGTCATCACTAGGATTCATCATATGAGAAATATTTGATAGGAAGACTAGCCAGATTATTATTTATTAACATGGAAATAAAATATCCATTTACAAAACTTATGGGGGGCTTGGCACATCTCTATTTGTACATCATTCTTCATATCACACATTAATAAAATCTTGACTATTAATGATCAAAAGTTAAAGCACTAATTCATTGGCAGGAAGTTGTTCTTAGTGTGATAAAAATATTTCCTGAAATATTACCTGATATTCGTAAGACCCAGGAGCCTCATTGCTGCCAGCTAAGAAACTACCCATCATTACAGTGGAAGCTCCTAATGCTAAAGCCTTTACTATGTGTCCGGAGTTTGCAATACCACCATCAGCAATGACAGGAACACCACTTTGCTCAGCAATAGATGAAACTTTGTAAACTGCTGTGGCCTACAAATTTGTGAGCAAGTTTATGTTTGAAGAAACATTATAAACCTCAAGGTATGTGGTAATTAAAACAAAAATGCATTTATGTAATTAAAACAAGAAATGCTTTCATTAGAAACAGAAATATGGATTTTATAGATCAAAATAAAAGTGCAACAGTACATAGACTAAAAAAGGTTGTCTCTCAATCCTTAGAAGAGGAACAAAACCAAGAGGCAGCAAAATCTATCAGTTTTTTTTTTGGAAGGTATACTGAATATGAGTGGGCACAGACTTCTTTATTTTTTATCAGACAGAAAAAACTTCTAATGATGATCTAACTACACAGTTTTGACTTATTCAAAATAAGAAATAATAATCCAGTACCTCTCCCAACACTATCCATTTAGCTAGATAGCATTTTCAGTTAAACTTTATGAGTACCTGTGTTTACATTTCAATATCAAGATGTTGATGCAGTAGTACAGGACTTGCAAATAAGGTCATAAAAGATGTCACTTAAAGGAGAGAATGTACAGCTTTTCTTGGTGGGGAAAATACAAGAATTAAGCACGATGTAAGGGTTGAAACTTCCAAATTTTCAATTTCAAGTCAAGTTAAAGCCTAGATAGAAACCAAAACTTAAATCACATCAATTACATGAAATCAGGAGTTGATATGCTCAATAACTAACAGAGTGAATATGGAGAATAAGATGTCACTTTATAAAAAAGAACTCAGCATTGTTGGGAAAATGGCTTAGGAGGATCCCCGTGGAAGTCAAGAATTTGTGGCCTTGTGTGATTGGAACCACTCATGGTTTGGCTTATAATGGTAAATATGCAGAGTTGCCCACAGAACTACCCATGCTTCTCCTTGGAAAGCAATTTTGGCTGTTCTTCCTATGCTTCTTTCCATCAGGTATGATGTCAAAATGCACTAGAATTAAAATTTGGGAAGATCTTTGGGCGCGGGGAGGGGGGGTCAATTATTGCCTTTGATTTTATTCTTTATCCAACTTCAAGCTTAAACCTACTTTGGTTTTGGTCAATACCTCAGAGCCAAGCTAATCTTGGAATCTTGGATGAGGTATGAAAAAACATGAATTAGCTCAAACTCTGTATCTCATTTCATTTTTTGAGGGCGTTTACCTCAATTTCTCTGCCTTAGATTCCCGGGTGTGTTTGGCTTCTTCATATGTGTTCCCTTAATCTGTGCTTCCCTCTTTACATCTTTTGCCTTTGACCTTGGAGATCATTACTCCATTTTCCAAAAACGATTTAATTACAGGATGGCAAGATGTGGCAAAATCCTTAATATCAAGAATAACTAAAAAAATGGATTCCACCATTGTGGAATCGGGTCAAACATAACTGTAATGGTTGCAGTCTTGGAAATCAAGGAGTGTTAAGGGATAGCATAGATCACTTTCTTTTTTTTTTGTTAAGTTTCATTAACGAAAAGAGGGAAGGATACACCTTACCGGAACCGCTCAAAAATATCAAAGAACAAAATAACCTTCCTAACCAATGACAAAGGAAATAAATTGTCACTATACCAGTGTTTTAAAAGGTGCACCTAGGCGCAGAGGCGAGGCGCTTTCCAGGCTGGGCATCTTGCCCAGTCTAAGGCGCACAAACCTTGAACAGGTGCTCGCCTCAGGCGGCCCAAGCAAGCGCCTGGATGATGTTTACACAATTCAACTTAAAACAGGATTCAAATAATATAAAAAAAAAACACAAAATAGGAAACTTAGGACAAAAGGAAGCTGAATCGACAGAGTCTTTGCCAAAACAACCAAAAGAAAAAAAAAAGTTTGGAGGGAAGATTTCCTTCGTCCAAAAGTTTGCGCTCCAAAGGACAAACCAGAGGAAGCTGAAGCTCATTCAAGCTCAAGTTTGTCTCTCCAAGCTTCTTTTTTTCACTTTTTATCATAAAAACAGGGAATCCGCCCCTGTTTTTTCAGTTTTTCTCATTAAAGCAGGGGCTCTGCCCCATTGTTTTTCAGTTCTTATCATAAAAATAGGGGATCCACCCCATTTTTTTTTCAAATATTCTCATTGAAACATATTGCTTTTCAGTTATTATCATAAAAACAGGGGATCTGCCCCATTTGTTTTCAGTTTTTCTCATTAAAATTGGGGTTTCACAGTCCACCCATTGTTTTTTAGTTTTTATCACTAAAACTGCCCATTCTTTATAGTTTCTACAAAGACTTGCATACTTGCAGAATTGCAGCCTTGCTTCTTAGTGAGTTAAAACAGTTGAGCTTTTCTATTATTAACAAGTAGAACTAGAATAGTTTATTTATTTTTGAAGATAGGTTCACAAATATGAGTATTGATAGTTGCAAATTGTAATTGTCATTTTCCAATAGGAAATTTTGCCAACCAAGTAAAGTAAAAAGATGGGAGACAAGTCCAACAATACTCAAAAAAGCAATAGGAAAGACCCAGGCTGGAAATATTGTTATTTGCAAGATCCAAAGAATTCAAATTCTGTCACTTGTAAATTTTGTGGCAAAGTGACAAATGGAGGGATCTATAGAGCAAAAGAGCATTTGATTAGTGGAAGAAGAAATGTATAAGTCTGTCCTAAATGCCCAAAAGAGGTGAAAAAAGAGATATTAGCATACAAGCATAGAAAAAAATGAATGAAAGAGGACATAATTGGAAGTCAAGAGGGCAGAATTCCTGATTTTGATGATTTTGAAAATATAATTGAAGATGAGGGCAGAATTAATGATTTGAGTGAATATCTCATTCAGAGGAATCCCATGGTTTGCTAACTCAATGGATAATGGCCTGCTAGGGAAGGCATAAAAATAATTGGATTGTATTTGGGAACACCTCATGGATAAGAAGGGAATCATAGATAGGTTTTTACCCGAGAGAGAAAAGACTAAAGAGTAAATATTTAGGAAACTACAAATAGAGATATTATATTTCCCCCATTCAAACATAACAGTTACAATGGTGAATAATAAGCATAACTCCACCAAACAGTCATGATCATCCAAGTTAAGCTCCTTTTTATTCTATGCTGAATGACTGAAATAAAATGTACTTGTCATTTGTCAACTCTGATATTAATCGAAACTGTTACTGATCGGAAAAAAACTAAATTTACATTTTCAAGATCTTGAATTAGGACACTGCCATATTAATCTCTCATCTTTGTACACCTCAACCACTACATCATTAAAGGAAAATTGAGTAAATTTCCTAAAGCCGCTAATTTACAAGCCAATATAACGCTACAGATCATCTGGTTACAAAAAGAGAAGTACAATCAACCTAAAAGTTATGTGTATTTGTACTTTAGTCCCATGGAAAATATGCAAAAAATAAAAATGAAGATATATTGATCATGGTGATTAAAGGAAGTTACCTGCCCTCTGCCAACAGCGCACACCTCCTGTGTAGTACAAATTGACCCAGAACCCATCCCAACCCTCAAAGCATCTACTCCCGCCTGAATTAGATTTTGTGCTTGATATGCTGTGACAACATTACCACCAATGACGTCCAACTCAGGATAAGTCCTCTTTACATATTTGATCATCTCTATCTGGTAAATCGAGTTCCCCTGCGAACTATCTAGCACCACTACATTAGCACCAGTCTTAACCAGATGCTCCAACCTCTCCTTATCCCGTTCCCTCGTCCCAATAGCGGCTCCGACCATGAACTTCCCATCAGCCCCTAAAGAAGGAAACCCTAATTTCGGAAATCCGCGAATCCTCTCCACATCCGCCGAAGTAAATAAATCCACAACCTCACCATCTTGCTCACTGACCAAAGGAACATAATCCAGCTTGTTCGCTGCTAAAAAAGCAGCAGCTTGCTCAAATGAGTAACCTGAAGGGGCAGAAACTAACGATTCTGACATGTATTTAGATACCGAAGTTTCTTTATCACTTAACCTCTCCCAATCAGACTTGGCAACAACACCCAACAACTTGGACTTGGAGTTCCCTGACTCGGTCACAAAAATACAAGGCGATGACGCAAAGTCCTGAATCGAACCGATCGAATCTGAAGGGGTTTTAAAAATGGGGTCAGAGATAAACGGAATCCGACGAGATTTGGCCGATCTAATCAATGCAGCTTGCTCAAACGGCTGGTTGTTGTAGTGCACGATACCAATGCCACCGAGCGACGCCATGGCGACTGCCATCGAGGATTCGGTAACAGTGTCCATGGGAGAAGCAACACAAGGAATCGACAGGTCGATGTTCTTCGTGAGCTTCGTGCTTAGGTTGACCGCGTCGGTGGGGAAGTCGATGTAGTGAGGGAGAAAGATGACGTCGTCGTAGGTATAGGAGTATCCCTKGTTGAAGAGGCGGTCTGCCGGAAAACCATCTTCGATCGGACCTCCGTTCATGGTGCCGGGGCTGTTAATGGGATCTCTCACCGGAAGCTGCAGAGCAAAAAGATAGAGAAGCGGCGAAGAGAAAGATACGAAGAGAAATAAGAGTAGGGGTAGACCTCGCAATTGGGTTGGGTGGGTCGGGTTCGGGTTGGGTCAATATACTTCGGGTTGACTTTCGGATTGGTTGTCAAATGCTTCGGGTTAGGGTTGACCATGGGTCAATTTGGGTCATTCCAAAAAATAATTAAAATTTTAAAAAATAAAAAATATATGAAAATGTCAAAATTAAAACAATTAACCTTAAAATTACAAATATAAAATACAAAACTTAAACATTTAACAATTTAAAGAGTAAACAATAAAAAATAAAGACTAAATAGAAAAATTAAAGAGTGGAAACTTCTAACAATACATAAATAATCCCAATTAGACTTGGCAATCAGATCAACAGGTTGACCCATGACCTAACCCGGATTTTTTGGGTCGGGTCGGGTTGGGTCACTTTCACGTTTAGGTATCTAAATATGAATCCCTAACCTTATTTTTTCAGGTTGGGTTGGGTTGGGTCGGGTTCGCGGGTTGGGTTAACTTTTTACCAGGTCTAAGTAGGGGTGATCATTTTCAGCCTAGCCCCGCCCTGCCTTGCTCGGAAATTCTGGGCTTGGGCTTGGATTTTGTGTTCAAGCCCAACCCGAGCCCAGGCCTATATCAGGCCCACAAATTTTAGGGTTGGGCTTGGGCTTAATACTTCAAGCCCAGCCCAGCCAGCATATATTTAAACTTACACATTTTGTGTATAATGTATACATATGTATACATGTTATTTTACATTATATTATATATAAATATTATAACATGACATGTATAATTTATATTATATGTAATATTTTATATTATATAATATATCAAATAAAAGTTTATATGCATATTATGTCATTTAATATAAAAAATTGTAGATATATAATGTTTTATATATGAAAGACATTGACCTATAACTAGGCTCGACCTAGCCCAGGCCCGTGTAAACTAGTCTAGGGCTTATGTTACAAGCCCGGACCTAAGCTTTAGCCCTTATCATAAGTGCAAAGCCCGGCCCGGCCCAGCCCATGATCACCCCTAAATAAGAGACATCAAAACTCAAAAGTGGCTAAACTGTGTGATGAATCAAAAGTTGAAGGGAAGTGGCGGAGAAGTTGCACTCCCTACGACAAGGTAACATTTGAGTTACAGCTCCTTATCTTATCACTGTCCACGTGGATGACGTGGAATTAAGTCGTGCTTCACAAAAATAACTAAGCATCATTTAGATGATGACGCATGATCCTGTCCACATCTAATCACAATACATTACCCCTGTGAATTGGGAATCTCCCCCTGTTGTGCTGCATAATACTATATAGGAGGATAGATATTCACCATGTGTGGTTGCGATGTTATGTGAGCAAACGTGGGCAAAGTTCTCATGGGCAGGAGATCCAAACTCTTACATGATACCCCCTCTATCGCTTTAATGCATCTTCAAGTAGGAATTGTTTGTGTAATATCCGTTTGTGAATGATTCATTATTAGTAAGATACTTTTGGATCCGATGTAGAACATCGTTAGTGTACATTGAGGCTGCATTTGGAAACGATGCAAATAAGAGTGAATATAAATATGTAAAGTGTAAAACAGTTCATATAGAATGTAAAGTTGGGTTAGTTTTGCATCCATAAATTTACCTTCTTACCAAACAAACTTTTAGGTGTAATGGATGCAAACCCAAATTCCAATAAAGCATATGCCTTTTTATCAAAATGACCACTTGAATGCAAATTGATTTCTTTTTTATTAATGTACTTTTACATTTTATTATAAATGTAAATATGCATTGGAAAATGTGTTTTTTTTTGTCATTTGTCAATGCATAAATGTAATGTTGCCAAACACAGGCAAAAGTAAAAAAGTGTAAAGTTTTACATCAATCAATGTAGTTTTTACATTGATTATCGATGTAAAATTTTATGAGTGATGAGGTTTTACATCGATTATCAATGTAAAACTCCACTCCATCCAAATGCACACAAAACTGAACCGCAGTGGAGTTTTATGCCGATCGTAATTATATGCTCTTTCCAAATGCCTACAAAACCAAACCAATGTATTATTTTACATCACTTCCAAATGTAGCCAAAAGGTTTCCTATCTTTTTTTTTGACAAAAAGGGTTCCTACCACATTACCCTTTTAGGCTGTGTTTGGAAGAGATGTAAATGCTGCATTGGTGCATTAATGCATTATGGTTCAACTTTGCATTCATTTGGTTTAAGCAATAAAATACATCGAGCATCGACGTAAAAGTGGTAAGGTGTCAAATTTTACTTTGATTAAGATAGAAAAATATTACTTCAATTTTTACGAAGCAAAAATTTACTCCTAATTACCATTGAAGTAAAGAAGATACCAGTTTGCTTCTTCAACAAACCCCTTAGACATCGATGGCTTCAACTTAGATTTCTTTCACCACTCCTAATGCAAATAGGTTTGTTTCTTCTTCTTCTTCAACAAACCCCTTCTCTAGGTTAAGATTGGTTTGCATCAATGGCTTCAACTTAGAACATTGTCAAATCAATGTGTTGCTTCTTCTTCTTTAACAATCCTCTATTAGACAGTGTATGCCCTTAACTCCAATCAAATTGATGTTCTAATACATTTATTGTAAATGAATAAAAGTACATAATTGTTTCATGTTATGATTTGTCATTTCTGTGCAATTACCCCTTAAACTAGACACTTAAGAGGCTCATATTAGTTTAGATTGTTCTTGACTGTTTGATAGATTTGGGGAGTTTATCCTACCAAGGCAGACACTAATGTGTTGCCAAGAAGGTTGGGGCAACCTGTTTCAGCTATTAGGGTTTGATCTAAAGCACATGTAGTGTGTGCTTGTTTGAAGCACTAAACTTGGACAAATTTCCAGTTATGCCCTGGACTTTGGAGACTGGTGGGCAAAACTAGAAAATTACACATAACCCCTAGACTCGATTATGGTACTACATTGAGTGTTAGATTGAGTTATCCTTGATATACCAATCAATGAGATCCTTTGGCGGTCAAAACCTGAGTATGTTGGGGCAGTCTAATAATTCACTTTAGTGGGTGATCATAGTGACAGGATCGGTCCCTTTATCGGACAAAGTGAATGATCGGGACTATATTTTCTTTGATGGAAACCAAATCTGTCAGTAGCCAATTTTAAACTTATTTAAGATTTGTTTTGCAAAATATATTTATATGATATCTATATATTATGCTTTAAGAAAAAAACTTTGCAAAATGTTTTAATTCCCAAGACCCATCTGAGCAAAGAGTGCAACATTGCACCTTATAGCCAGGGAGAGGTCCTTCTTTGTCGGGTAGTGGTTGATCATTATGGGCTGAGAGGTTAAGTGTACAAGACCATTTAGGGTTTTTACCTAATGGGCTATATCTTATGTAAGTCTATTGTCCTTGGGCCTTTATAAGATGGTTGTACTCAACGATCATTTAATGTACATGTTGGGTCCATTAAGAGCCCATACTGATGGACTTAGGGGTTCACTGTGCTAGATAGTGAATTCAGCCAGGCCTTTTCACAGAGGTTGGGCCGAACCCATGCGGGCTTATGTGAGGTAATTATTGGGGTCCCATGCCATACAAATTGAACCTAAATGGGTTAGCAACTATCTTGGGACGTCAGCCACTTGCTTAATGGGCTTAAAGCCCATAAGTAATATGATTAATCAAGATGTCACATGATATGATTAATCAAGATGCGATATGAGGCAAATTTGGGTATGGAGCACCTAATCTTATAAGAAGATAAGGTCTATCTCTAATTAGAGTCTACATCTAATGTAGATCTAGATTATCTCCTAATTAAATTAGGAGAAATCTCCATAAGAGATTATAAAAGAGGAGGGGGCAAAAGGCAAACCAGTCCAAGACAACTTAATATTTTTGTAGTTTTTGGTCATCTCTACACCCTTTTGCCTCCTAGTTCGACTATAGCTTTGGGACTGATAAAGATCACTTCTTTCTCTCTGGTTTTTGTAGGAAAAATTCAGAGAAATCTCGTGTTCACCTCCCTTGTACGATCAAATGTGTTGGACTGCAGTTTTGCTAAGAACTGTGTTGCTGAACTGACTTCATTTCAAGTTGCACCATTTTCAGTGGAGGCTGTTTTTGGGATTTAGTTTGGGCGTGAACTACTACTTTGGGAGATACATTTGTGGAATCTGTATCATGTATACTTTTCCCTTCCTTTTGGTTTCAAAATTGGTCCAGTTTCAGTTCAATAACGATCCTAGAAAAAGTAGTTTTTCTAAAACTAGGAATGTGATTCCTGAAAAGGTGAAAGAAAATTTTTGAATTTTTGCCCAACCATCTTGCATGATCTGGCTATTCATATGATGGATTCCCCCTTCTTCTAACCCCTTCTCTAGGCTAAGACTAGTTTGCATCAACAGCTTCAACTCAGAACATTGTCAAATTGATGGGTTTCTTCTTCCTCGTCAAAACCCAAGGCATCGGCATCAACTCAAATATGATCAATAGGTGTGTTTCTTCTTGTGAGTGGTGTGGGAAGGCTACGTGCGGTGATTTTTTTAAAAGACGAAGGAAGGTTGGTGTGAGTAAGGTGGTAAGGTTACGCATGGAGGTCTCCTTGAAAGAGGAAAAAAGGCAGCAAGCAAAGGGTAGGCTAAAGGCTCTGATCGATAGAATGATATTCTTGTTATGAGATAGACCTCCTTTTATAGGGAGAGATCCTAAGGTCCTAAAAGGAAGGAGCCAAAAGTGTTTTATTCCCATTAGGAAAGGGAATCTTTGATTCAATGTTAGTTGTCAGGGGAACACTACTAGGTTTTTGCCACATGTCTTATGAGATATATCAATGACAAGGTTTCTTTTCATATGAAGATTCTCATAATATACATATTCTACTTCCTTTTGTGAGTTACCTAAACTGACGTGGTACGAGCGTCATCAATATTAATCTCGCATGTCTTATAATCTTATTGGTTGTTTTGTCACATGCAACATCGGTGAATCACGTGTTTCTTTTCTT